AGGTATAAACCAATATATGAATATATCACTGCCTCAGATGATTGACAATGATAAATAAGGTGACTGTTAGTGTAACTAAAGTGACTGATAACAATTGCACTGATATGGCCATAAAGTGACACATGGTCACCTATGGTGTCACAATAAAGTGACTGCTGGTGCTAATAAAGTGACAAATGCAATAAATAATTATCAATAGTATGGAAATAAAATGTCCATAAAGTGACAAGTTGGAGATCCGGAAATGTATGATCTCAAAATTGGTGATCCACACGCTATAATCAATGTTTTGGTGATGTGCCAGGTAAGTAGTAGAATTACGCACTCACCAGATGCGTAATATTAATACACATTTAGGGATATAAACAGTGGTCAGCGGGACGTCCCTTTAATGCTGTCTGCAACCTAGTCTGGAATCCCCCTCTCTGGGTCATCTGCAGTACCTCTGCCGTCCTCCTTGTAAATCTCTGTGGGTTGGTAAACTATCCGCTGCGCAGCCACAGCCTGGAGATGGAGATTGCTGTTGGCACTAAAGAAGGAGCCATGCTACTGCTTGAAACTGCTGGAAACAGCAAGCCGTCCATTGAGAGAGCCGTGCCACGACTCCTGTGCGCATGCGCGGGAGTGACGTCATCGTGGCTCAGCCAGTCAAACAGCCAAAGGCCAAGAACCTGGAAGGAAAACTGGGTGCAGATGGAAGCCCTGTAACATGGGTGTAATATGTAACATGTTATGAAAGGTGAGCTTATCCTTTAAAGTGGTAGGAAACTCTTCTTTAATAATTTTACCTACAGGAAAGCTTATAATAAAGCCTGTGGGTAAAACCGTTTAGGAGATATTCACCATTTCTGATATCCGGCGCATGAGCTCTGAAGGAACGGCATACCTGTGACGTTCCTTCAGAGCTGTGTGCCTTGGCCCAGGACTCCTATGCGCAGGAGTGACGTCATCGCGTCTTGGCCAGAGCTCTTGAACCCAGAAGGAAGACCGGGTGAAGAAGGAATTCCTGGGGAGCCATGACAGTGCTTTGTTTCAAGATAAGTCTTTCATAATATGCTGTTATGCAATGCATTATTTTGCAAGAGACTCTAAAGATGTTTTTTGGTGGTTTACTACTGCTTTAAACCCTCAGCGTTTTGTAACATAGCCCATTGAACACAATAAAATGAACATTCCCCGGGAAATTATTTTGTTAAAATTCCTACCCCGGCGCTTGCAGTTTACAGCCTTCAATGCTGCCGGCTCCTGCTTTCCCTGAACGTCTGGTCTTCACAGGAAAGAGGTAACACTAGTGCAGTCTCCAGCCAATCTGTTAGCTTGGACAAGAGGGGAGGGGGGGGAGAAGGAACAGGGGAGCACCTTGCCATCGTAGACTATGGGGCTGTGTGTTTCTATTGATGCACAGAGTGCTGGGAGATACAACTTTAGTCCTTGCATTCAAGGGTGGCTCCATGGCACTCAAGAGAAAGGTGCCACCATGAAACAGGAAACCTGGGGCTGGGATCATGACAGCAGCTTAACCTGGATCATAGGCAAGGATTAAAAGGTAAAGAAGCTGCATAATCAGAAAGTGATTAAATCAGCTGCTAAAGCATTTAAAAAAAAATTTAAATATCATTTTAAGTAAACCCATCATAAGAGAACTGGGGAGTTTACCATTGCCAATCTCAGTAACAAAAACAGGTAAAAAACTCCTTATCTGCATATTTGTCCTACATTTGTCCTACATTGAAGCTTCCTGCCTGGTGACATGGCAGCCAGGCAAGAAGCATCTTCAGATGAGAAGCTAAGCAATGGTAGCCTCCTTGCTCCTCTCCTAGTCCTAGAGCATGGTGGCCTCATTTGTTTCTTAGTTCGTCTATACAAAGTGGTTGGGTAGGTAGGACCAGGGGCGGACTGACAACTCATGGGGCCCCCGGGCAATAGGGGATCATGGGGCCCCTGTGTCCTTGCCCAAACTAAAAAAAGCCTATGAAAAAGGTACCAGGGTCATCTCATGGGGCCCCCTACTGACCCCGGGCCCTCGGGCAGTGCCCGAGTTTCCAAATGGTCAGTCCGCCCCTGGGTAGGACTTAATGGCCGCAGATGTGGTCGCTTGTCAATTAAGGAAGATGTGATTCTGGAATGTCAGGTAACCTGGGCTTTGTTCTACCTGGACATGTCTCTGGGTTGTGGTTTCTGTATCTAGCTGTATGCACTGTATCTTATTGGGTTGACACATACATTTCTTCTGGGACTTTTATTTGCAAAGTGGGTTAATACATACCCCTATTTGGCTCTTCGTGCCCCCCAACAGGGGTGGGGGGGGAATATGAACAGCCACAGGACCAACCATGGGATGATTGTTGTTGTACAGTTGATGTTAGGTTGTAGATGGATCTTGATTTATCATTAGAACCAAAACGAAAGCACATCTTCAGTCCTGAAGAAGTTGGACCACCTTGAAACGTGTATCCTGAATCAAATATATTAAAGGCCAGGCGGAAGAATGTGATCAGCCACAGGACCAACAATGGAACGATTGCAGGTGTACAGTTGATGCTAGGGTTGTAGATGGATCTTAATTTATCATTAGAACCCAAACAAAAGCACATCTTCAGTCCTTAAGAAGCTGGACCACCTTGAAACGTGTATCCTGAACCAAATATAATAAAGGCCAGGCGGAAGAATGTGATCAGCCACAGGACCAACCATGAGATGATTGTTGTTGTACAGTTGATGTTAGGTTGTAGATGGATCTTGATTTATCATTAGAACCCAAACAAAAGCACATCTTCAGTCCTGAAGAAGTTGGACCACCTTGAAACGTGTATCCTGAATCAAATATATTAAAGGCCAGGGGAAAGAATGTGGTCAGCCACAGGACCAACCATGGAATGATTGTAGGTGTGCAGTTGATGCTACGTTGTAGATGGATCTTGATTTATCATTAGAACCCAAAGGAAACGCGTATCCTGAATTGATAATAATAAAGGCCAGAGGGGAAGAATGCATAATTCCTGGGGATTACGTTTAAAGTCCTCCATATACCATGTTTCTTTACAATTGGTTGGGTAGGACCTAAATGACGCACCACGTACCGATAGATCTTTGAATTGCTCTTCTGGATAGCAGCCGATAATATACAAGATATTCTTTATGGATGTAGTTAATGTTCACCATGTGCTACTGTACGGGGCCAAAAAATGGAAGGAGCTTTTCTGTCTGCACCAATGACTAAACGCGGACATGAGTATATCCCTGTCCTAAAGAGAACCAATCATCGCTGGGATCACACAAACATTCTGTCTTCATTTATTGCAGTTGTCTAAGTTAGTTTTTGAACAATTTAGGCCTCATGCACACTGGACACTTTGCCCATCTCTCCTAGACGCCACAGTGTTTGGCAGAGAAAACTCTTGATGCTGTGTAAAACATTTAGACACGTCAAACGCTTGGGCAGTCATTCATTTCATCGGCCATAATAATTTATTCTGGCCATAGAAAAAAAAATTAATGCTCGAGTGCTAAAGCCTAGCATTAATGCGTGTTTAGGCACGTTTAGATGCGTCCAGGGCTGTCCTAATGCATGGGAGCAACTGGCACTGACCAGGGACCCTAGATGCCTAGGGGCCCCATGACAATTTTGCATTACATCCTGCTTGCCAACTGTCCCGGATTTGCCGGGACAGTCAAGCTTTTTACTAAGCTGTCCCGGGTTTGACGGGACAGTCAAGCATTTTACTAAGCTGTCCCGGATTTGCCAGACAGTCAAGCTTTTTACTAAGCTGTCCTGGATTTGCCAGGACAGTCAAGCTTTTTACTAAGCTGTCCCGGATTTTCCAGGACAGTCAAGATTTTAACTAAGCTGTCCCGGATTTTCCGGGACAGTCAAGCTTTTTGCTAAGCATCCCAGAACCTGTACTGTGCCCTCCTGATCCCAGTATTGTGCCCTCCTGACTCCCCCTGTACTGTGCCCTCCTGATCCCAGTATTGTGCCCTCCTGACTCCCCCTGTACTGTGCCCTCCTGATCCCAGTATTGTGCCCTCTTGACTCCCCGGTACTGTGCCCTCCTGATCCTAGTATTGTGCCCTCCTGATTCCCCCTGTACTGTGCCCTCCTGATCCCAGTATTGTGCCCTCCTGATCCCAGTATTGTGCCCTCTTGACTCCCCGGTACTGTGCCCTCCTGATCCCAGTATTGTGCCCTCCTGACTCCCCTTGTACTGTGCCCTCCTGACTCCCCTTGTACTGTGCCCTCCTGACTCCCCTTGTACTGTGCCCTCCTGACTCCCCTTGTACTGTGCCCTCCTGACTTCCCTTGTACTGTGCCCTCCTGACTCCCTCCCCCCATACTTTGCCCTGTGTGTTGATTAGTCTTTGATTTATGGCGTGTTTTCTTATTGTTTAAAATCAATTTTATTGAACGTACTAATAAATTCATGTTTAATTCTATCAACCATGTATACTTTAATTCCTCATGCACACTTAACATTTTTACAGCGGCTGTTTTTGGCTTTTGATGTTTTTTTTCTACAGCCAGTAAACCCCCCAGCATGTTATCCTATGTGTCCATACATACATAGACTGGAATCAACGTTTTTTTGGCTGGAAAAAAACCCAGGACTAGTTGGCTTCTAGAGATGTTTTTCAGCTGTAAAAACGCCTTAACGCTGAAAGACGTGGAAAAATGTGGCAACATGTGCAAAACGGCGTTTTTGGACTTTTTTGGACCAAAAAAATATTTTTTTAAGTAGAAAAAAAAAACTCAAATGCAAAAAAAACGCAAGAAAACACCGCTAATCATGGCAAAACGCCTCTAAACACTAAAGCAAAACCACTAAAAAAAAAGCTGAAAAACTCACGTTTTTAACGTGACTTTACACAGCTAATGTTACCAGCGTTATCAAAACGCCCCGTGTGCATGGAGCCTAATTCTTGAGAGTAGGTGTGTAAAGTGGGTCGTGCTGGCAGGGGCCCAGGGGTGGACTGACCATTTGGAAACTCGGGCACTGCCCGAGGGCCCGGGGTCAGTAGGGGGCCCCATGAGATGCCCCTGGTACCTTTTTCATAGGCTTTTTTGAGTTTGGGCAAGGACACAGGGGCCCCATGATCCCCTATTGCCCGGGGGCCCCATGAGATGTCAGTCCGCCCCTGCAGGGGCCCCAGTGCATTACTTTGCCCAGGGGCCCATGATGCTATTAAGACGGCCCTGGACGTGTCAAGCATTTTTTTTTCTGCCAGAACGCCACTGCTCCTAGATGCGCTGGCATTGGCCTTTTTGGTCTCTCTCTAAACATTGGAGTTGATTTACTAAAGGAAAATAAACGGTGCACTTTGTAAGTCGCTTCAGAAGTTAGTAAATGCGGGGAAGCTCTACTGACTTCCATCATCCAATTACGTGCAAGCAAAAATGCTGTTTTCTTTATTTTCCCTTTCACGTGATTGGGTATTCTTGGCAAAGTGCAGTTTCATCTCATTTACTAAGATCTGGAGCAACTGCACTTGCAGAGTGCACAGTCTATTTGCCTTTAGTAAATCCACCCCATAGGCTAACATGCAGGGGAGTTTAGAGGCAGAAAAAAAAATGCCAGACGCCCCTAACAGCAGCAATAAACACATCCAGTGTGCTTGAGACCTTACTCTTGTCCCCTGATCAGGGGCAGACTGACAACTCATGGGGCCCCTGGGCAATAGGGGATCATGGGCCCCCTGTGTCCTTGCCCAAACTCAAAAAAGCCTATGAAAAAGGTACCAGGGGCATCTCATGGGGCCCCCTACTGATCCCGGGCCCTCAGGCAGCGCCCGAGTTTCCAAATGGTCAGTCCGCCCCTGCCCCTGATTTAGCTTCACTTCCTTTTTCTCTGACTCTTCAGTTAGAGTCTGGGGGAAAGGGGGTGTAAGGTCACCGGAAGCGTTAGGGCCCATTCACACCATTGCATTTTCTGTGCACTACATGCAGGATCACAACGCATGTAGGCCCCATTCACATCTGTAGCATTTTTCAGCGTTGTTAGCGCACTTTTCGCGCATATTTTACCACGATTTTTGCACATTTTTATACAGCGTTTTTAGCCATTTTTGATCTTTGTTTTTTTTTATTAGCCAATAGAGAAAAATATCATCTATTGCATCATTTGTTGCTAGGTTTTTCTGTTTTTTTTTTTTTACTTTTAGCTTTTTTTTTTTTTATTATTATTTTTCATTTATTATTATTTTGTTTTTTGTTAGGGTAAGGGGTTAAGGGGGTGAGAGTTAAGGTTAGGATTTATATTTTATTTATTATTTCTTATTATTTATTTATATTATTTTATTTATGTATTTATTTATTTTCCCCCTTTCTACTTATTTATTTATTTTTTTGTTAGGGTAATAATAATAATAATATTTATTTATTTTCAGGTTAGGGGTTAATTATTATTTATTTCTGATTTACTTATCATAATTTTTTTTATTTAAATTTGTATTTATTTAATCTATTTTACATTTATTTGTTTATATATTATTACTTTTTTTTTAACATTTTTAATTTGAGCAGAAAATCGCACAAAATGCACGTTAAAACACACACAAAAGTAGCTCCAAAACGTTTGTGAGCGTCAGGCGTTCTGCTTCAGGCGACTTGGAGTGGAGATGTGAACCCTCTCCATAGAGTAATATTGATTTTTTTTTTTCCCTCCTTGAGCGTTTTGGAGCTTCACGCTACAAACCTCTCAGGTGTGAATGGGCCCTAAAATCACATGAAAACTAGCTACCATTATAATCTATGAAGCTCTTCACATCAATGTGTTGCTCCTCGCACGACCTCCTGCTCTCTAGCTCCCTTGTCTCCTCCTCCCATGCTCGTCTCCAGGACTTCTCCAGAGCTTCCCCCATCCTCTGGAACTCTCTACCCCAATTTATCAGACTATCGCCTACTCTACTCACGTTTAGGCGATCTCTGAAAACCTCTCTCTTCAGGGAAGCCTACCCTGACTCCAGCTAATAATGGAAACTTCTACTCCTCCTACCAGTCCATCCCCCACAATTACTACCTTTTGTACCTCCCTCTTAGATTGTAAGCTCCAAGGATCAGGGCCCTCAAATCCCTCTTGTATTGAACTGTATTGTTGCTGTATTGTCTCCCGTTATATTGTAAAGTGCTTTACAAACTGTTGGTGCCATATAAATCCTGTATAATAATAATTAGAGGGCAGTGCGTTAAGTGTGTGAAAAATGCTGCTGGCTGCATTTTGGTAACATTTCGTATGATATTTAAAGCATTGCATGGAAAAGGAACAAAAAAACTAAAAATGCAACAATCAGTACATTTCTTATGTCACACGTCTTTCAAATCACGTTTTTCAAAAAACATGTCATGCGTTGCTTTACATAAAAAAGCGCTAAAAACACATCATGCCCTCTGAGGAAATTGTAGGTTGTGTTTTAATGTGATGGTATGACCCAGCCCATTCACACTGCTGCGTTGCGTTCAGGGGCGGACTGACAACTCATGGGGCCCCTGGGCAATAGGGGATCATGGGGCCCCTGTGTCCTTGCCCAAACTCAAAAAAGCCTATGAAAAAGGTACCAGGGGCATCTCATGGGGCCCCCCACTGACCCTGGGCCCTCTGGCAGCGCCCGAGTTTCCAAATGGTCAGTCCGCCCCTGGTGCCACCTATCAAATCGCATGCCCTGTTAGATCACAGTACTCCTCCTGACTTTTCTCACCAGAAGGACAGAACCAGATCTGCCTCAGGGTTTGCAGCCTCCTAAGAAGTGATTTGTGGTGAATCGCTGTTCAAAATGCAGCTAAGCAGCTGCTGTGAGGCACTGAAGAGGTGATTCTGCCACCAAGCCAAGTGGTTGCGATGTGGCCTCTTTGAATTGAATGGCTAAGGTTGACAGGTGGTGCCACCTAACAACTCGCATGCCTCAGATGACACAATCCTGTAAATCCTGGTGCCTGGCAGTGTTCACAAATGTCTGACGCAGATCAGCCTCAAGGTGAGCAGCCTCCTAAGCAGCGATTTGTGGTGGATTGCTGTTCAGAGTGCAGCTAAGCAGCTGCTGTTAGGCACTGAAGAGGTTATTCTGCCATCTTCTGAATGCCATTTTTTTTTCCCGAATGGTAATTTTTAATGGGACTAATGCACTGCAACCACAAGCCAAGTGGTTGGCTTGTGGTTGTGATCAGGGGTGGACTGACCATTTGGAAACTCGGGCACCGCCCGAGGGCCCGGGGTCAGTAGGGGGCCCCATGAGATGCCCCTAGTACCTTTTTTTTATAGGCTTTTTTGAGTTTGGGTAAGGACACAGGGGCCCCATGATCCCCTATTGCCCGGGGGCCCCATGAGTTGTCAGCCTGCCCCTGGTTGTGTGGCTCCATTGAGTTGAACAGCTGAGGTTGACATGTGGTGCCACCCATCAACTCGCATGCCTTGTTAGATCACAGTACTCCTCCTGGATTTTTCTCTCCAGAAGGACAAAACCAGATCTGCCTCAGGGTGAGCAGCCTCCTAAGCAGCGATTTGTGGTGGATCACTGTTCAGAGTGAAGATAAGCAGCTGCTGTCAGGCATTGAAGAGGTGATTCTGCCATCTTCTGAATGCCTTTTATTTCTCTTTTTCTTTTTTTTTTTCACCGAATGGCAGTTTTTAACCAATTCAATACCAGCCACTTTTCCCCCTTCCTGCCCAGGCCATTTTTCAGGTTTCAGCGCTCTCACATTTGAATGACAATTGCGCGGTCATACAACATTGTACCCAAACTAAAATTTTATCATTTTCTTCACACAACTAGAGCTTTCCTTTGGTGGTATTTAATCACCGCCGGGGTTTTTATTTTTTGCTAAATTAACAAAAAAAGCCTGAAAAGTTTGAAAAAAAAAACCACGTTTTTCTTTGTTTCTGTTATAAAAGTTTGCAAATAAATAATTGTTCTTCATAAATTTAGGCCGAGATGTATTCTGCTACATGTCTGGTGAAAAAAAAAACAAATTAGGATGTATTATTTAGTCTGTAGGAAAGTTATAGAGTTCACAAACTATGGTATAGATCTGAATATTGATCAATCCTGAAGTACTGACAGCCAATCTAATTTCTTGAGGTCCAAGAATGTCAGGACAGTACAGATATCCCCCAAATGTCAGAACAGTACAGATATCCCCCAAATTTCAGGACAGTACAGATATCCCCCAAATGTCAGGACAGTACAGATATCCCCCAAATGTCAGAACAGTACAGATATCCCCCAAATGTCAGAACAGTACAGATATCCCCCAAATGTCAGGACAGTACAGATATCCCCCAAATGTCAGGACAGTACAGATATCCCCCAAATGTCAGAACAGTACAGATATCCCCCAAATGACCCCTTTTTGCAGAGTAGACAGTCCGACGTACTTCATAAGAGGAATGGCGAGTTTTTTGAAGTTGTAATTTTTTTGTCATAATTTTTCGGAAAATTAAAAAATTAAAAAAATTATTTTCACTATTTTTCTTTTTTACATACTGTCACCAGTGCAGTACAGCGTCATCATATAACTGGCATGGCGGCGATCAGGGACACTGACTGGTGACAGTATTAAAAAAAAAATATATATATATTTTTTTTTATTATTTTACATTTTTTATTACTTTTTTCTTTTTTTAAGATTTTTTTTTCATATTTCACTATGTCCAAAGTAGTACAATGTTACCATATAAGCAAGCATTTACCTGAATGACATCGATTCATTCAGGGTTTTTTGGGGGTTTTTTTTGGTGCTTAGCTGTGATTTGGCCACAGCTAATCACATGACATGTGTATGTGATTAGCTGTGACCATTCACAGCTAGACACTAGTATACAATGGATGGCATGAATGAAGCCATCCATTGTATACAACTGTCATGTGACCTGCTGTGATTGGTCACAGCAGGTCACATGGTACTGGCAACGGGGGCTGGTACTCAGATCTGTCATCGGCCGTGTCCGAGGTACACGGCCGGTAACAGATCGTGCCGCTGCGCGGCACTGCAAGCGCGCAAACTGCGCATGCCCGGGAGTATGCCGTCCACCCGGAAATCTAAGCCAAACGGCTATTGGCCGGGCGGCTAATGGTTAATGGGACTAATGCACTGCCACCACAAGCCAAGTGGTTGCGATGTGGCCCCAT